GTTTAAAAGAGGATGTGTTAAAACTCTGTTTAGTCAGAGTTAAACATGAAACATCAAAGTTCATTACAACTGGCCCTTTGAGGGCCACCATTACTCCCATGTGGACCTCAGTGAAAAAGAGTTTGACCCCCCTGACTTAAATAATGAAGGCCTGTGATGAAAGCTGCTAACATTTGGTCTCTACTGAATGGTGACGGTTGGCGTGGAGTTCTATCTTGTTTACCTTTTTATCAAATTAAACAAGGGTTTACTGAAATACACTTGACTACATTTAGTTTTTGTTGGATTAAAACCTCCTTGAGACGACGGTGGAAGGAAAAGACGTCAGTGAAATGTAAACGTCTGCTTGTTTGCCGCTCATCTCGTGTGATTCAGTTGAAGAGAATCGTAACTCTGTCATTATGTTGCGTTCAGCCACTTCAAAACAGGGAATCTCCAGCTGCTGACACAGATGTAGGAGAAGTTCGGAGAAGATACGAGGAAACAAAGACGGATGTGTTCGTAATCTCTGTCAGGAGAACCAAAGAGCAGATGTTCTGACTACTTTCTCTAGTTCTTCTTTCGAATCAGCCTCTGTTATCTTTAGGCAGAGTATCCACTTCAGCCTTAAAAAAAAAAACTACTAAATTGTGTCGAAACTGAGAGCAGTCATGTTTGTGGGAAGATGAAAACATGGTTCCATAAAGACTAGAAATAATCCATGTAATAAATAATCACAAACAAAAACATGTCGTCTTAAAAGCTTCTATAACGCCGGTTGTTTCTCCGACGTCCAAAAATAAACCGGCTCCAGTGATTCACTGTTGCTCTGGGAACCATCTCCCTTCATTACAAAGACTGTAGTCACTGAGGTTTATGTAGGAACATCTCCACAATAAAAGTGATAAATAATTCATTAGAAATGCACTTCATAGCTGCAGTTATTGGGAAGCATCTTCTCTTAATAACTCGCTTGGTTTCATGTTTGACTCGAGTTTAATTAAATCCAAATTAAATGACTCACTTTGGTTGACCGAACTATTTAGTTTGCAAGCCGAGTTTCATTTCATCAAACCAGAAAAACGTTGAGTAAAAACTGATTTTAAACACAGGAGAGAGAGAGTTTCCTGTGCTTGAACCGTGTCTGACCTTTTTAAGGGAGAGAGTTGTGTTCGTGTGCGAGCCGAACCAACGGCGCTCAGCCCGTTTTGTTTCCACAGGACCAGACGTTGGAGCAACAAACGGTCAACACTGAGCCTCTGTTAGCGGCGCAGACCTCACGGCGTTCACACCTGAGTGAGCGAGCCGTGTTTAGATTGAGCTCGGCGGCACAAAGCTGTCGGTGTTCACGCTTCGGCTGTGGAAACTGCCAAAGTTTTTATTTTATTTACAGGATTTACCGTCTCTGAACACATTCTCAAAGTTCTGTGTAAAAAAACAAACAAKATTGTATAAACTTCACTCATTTTAGCCCTGAAGATGGTCCAGAACATTATTTCATGTCGGATTACAGMGTGGTTTTAATTAGTCTACTCCTGAGCAGAAACTCCTTCCTTTGGTGTTTCTCTCAGATCTGCAGCAGGTTTTAGCTGCGAAGCTGAGAGTTTAACCTGCACCCTGTCAGAGTTCATGATCCCAGATCACTRAAACACCAGCYTCAGTTCTTTGGCTAATCTGGACTGAAGGGAGCTTCTAAAATGACCAAATCCTCCTCATGACTCAGCTGTGTTCTGCTGCCCCCTGCTGGTCAAATCATTGCARTTTTATTTTAGAAGTATTGAAACACATCCAGGCTTCAACAGACTGATTATTTTATGTGACCGATATTTTAGACTGTTTAAAAATTATTGCTGCAGTTTTAAAGTTAAATTTGTTTGTCTTGATTCTTGTGTCCAAGCCAAGGCCAGTTTCTGTCAGTATTTATTATAAAATTATTCTGA